GATTTAATGTCTCTTTAAAATAAAAATAGTAAATCTCTAAAGATTTAATATCTCTTTAAGATAAAAATAGTAAATTTTTTATTTAATGAAATTTTTTTAAATTTAACTTGTGTGGATTTGTTTTGAATATAAGTAAGGAAATATTGGATAGATTCAGTACTCAATATGATCTACTTACAACTGTAGATAGTTACACGGATAATTAAATTTTTATTCAATTTTTAAATCATGTAAATATTAAAAATATCGCAATTATTATTCCAAAATATTTCCCATATATTTTTAATTTTACCACCGATTTTTAATGTTGGACTCATCGTCAGCAAAAATTACAATATTTAGGTGGGTCATATTGAGTAAAGCTACTTAAATTTTTATATACATATATATTTTTTTCGTTCCGATTTATATTAACTCTTTATTTATTTTTTCAGACTTATGTAGATATTTTCAATAGTATTAACAACATCAACATAACGGCTGTGATATTATCTTGCATCACTATCTTAGCTCTTATTTTTAACAACGAAGTTCTTAAGGTTTGTTATGCTAAATTAAGATCAATTATGACTTTGCAAATAAACATACAAGGTCAAAAGTATCCGACCTCTGCGTCATCATTCTTCTTGAGCATCTTCTCTCTCTCTCTCTCTCTCTCTCTCTCTCTCTCTCTCTCTCTCTCTCTCTCTCTCTCTCTCTCTCTTGTGGAAAATAGGCATTCTGTACTTAGGATTCTTCTCTCTTAAATACTGAATGCCTCTTTTCTATAATAGAAAAAGAAAAAGAAAGAGAGAGAGAAAGAGAGGGGGGAGAGGGGGGGGGAGAGAGAGAGAAGATGCCCAAGGACAAAAATATACGCAGATATTTCTAGAACAGACCTCATACATTTTATATAAAAAAGATATTTGAAAATTTATAAAATTAATTACATCTGCGTTTTCTAAAAAGAAATATTCTGGATTTCAGCCAAGAGTTTCAAAGTTATGCCCCTTTCCAATTCCGATAGAAATGTTTGCAGTGGTAATCGGTACTCTGATATCGATGCAAATGAATCTTGCGGACACTTATAATGTAATAACAGTTGGCGATATACCAGTAGGGTAAATATGTAATTAAAATTAGTATTTGATTAATTCGTACAGCTTGCAAAAAATGTTTGTTATGAAAATATTAACTTTTGTATATAATACTGAGTTAAAATTAATTTACTAAATTAATTTTGGCTAACTCATTATATATAGAAAATGTTTTTAATAAAATTATAACAAATTGTGAAAGTAAAATAAAGTAACTTTAAATTACTGTAACATTAAAGTTTTTAATTCAATTTTCCAGACTGCCAGTCCCATCTGTACCACCGTTGTCACTTGTACCCAACGTTTTAGTAGATAGTTTCGTGATTACTATGGTTGCTTATACAATATCAATGTCTATGGCATTGATTTTTGCGCAAAAGGAGGGTTATGAAGTCGATTCTAATCAAGAATTGATTGCGCAGGTTTATATAATATTTTTAAATATGTATAATAAATATGTTTATATTCGCTTTGTATGCTCTTAATATATACATCGCTTTGTATGCTCTTAATATAAAAATATATCAATTCTACACAATTTTATAGGGATTGGGAAATCTTGTAGGCTCTTTTTTCTCTTGCATGCCTATCACGGCTTCATTATCCAGATCATTGATTCAACAAACTGTAGGTGGACATACACAATTGGCGAGTTTGATATCATGTGGAATTTTGATGAGCGTATTATTGTGGATCGGGCCATTCTTTCAACCATTGCCACGAGTAATTATTCTTTTTATTGTTTCTATCTTATAATATAAGCGTCGGATGATGATAAAATACATTTGATGCTTGTGAGATGCGCAGTGTGTTCTAGCAAGTATAATCGTGGTGGCGTTAAAAGGGATGCTGATAAAGGTCAGTGAATTTATCAAGTTCTGGAGATTGGACAAGATGGACGCCGGCATTTGGATTGTCACGTTCATTATCGTGATTCTTTTCGATGTTGAGTATGGATTATTGATCGGTATACTTCTGTGTATAGGAAGATTACTTATTCTCGCAATGCGACCTTATACGTGTAAGCTCGCTCTAGCACCCGGCACTGAGCTCTACTTGGATTCCAAGAGATACAAAGGAGTACGAAGAATTTTTAATTAAAAAAAAAAATTTTTTTTCTCATTAAATTATAATGTATATAGGGCGGTGCACGAAATGTCACACCATTTAATTATTGCATTAAAATTATACTTGTAAAATATTTTTCAATTATGTGAACAAATTCTATACCTACTTCATGAAATTTTTATTAGATGTGACATCATGAGTCAAAATTGGGCGAAGATAAAGACATTAATTTGTGAAATGCAGGGTTGCACACGAATTATCATACTGTTTGTTTTACATTGTTTTGTTTTATAATTTTTTGGAGACGCACTCTTGTGTTTGATTTTTTTCAATACAAATCTTCGGATAATACATGGCATAATTGCACGATGTCTTTGAGTCTCGGCTACAATTTCCATGAAAAACAATACTATCTTTTTATGTTCAACATTTTAGGTCAATCATCCATCGGCCGCTATTTCACAGTTTCAATTCGTAATGCCACCTAATAGAATTCACAAGAAATACAGAATTTATGTTTATACAGTTAAAAAATGGATACTTCAGAAGTATAATTTTAATGAAATAAATCAAATGGCATGACATTTTGTGCGCTACCCAGTATTATCAGTTAGTATTTATTCTCTTAGAAATAGTAAAATTTTTATAAATTTTTTATATAAATTTTTTATAAATTATAGAATTTTTGGCGTTTTAGTAAATCATTAGAATGGCAAGTTAAAAATAAAAATTACTGTTAACTCTAATCAGAAAATAAATATTTAACAAATATTCCAGACTGTAGAGATTCCCGGCATCAAAATCTTCCACTATTCTGGTAGTTTGAATTTCGCATCTAAACAATATTTTCGTGAGGAAGTGTATAAGGTTACAGAGCTAGTACCTCAAAAGGAAAAAAGCTTTAAAAAGCAATTACAAGTTACATACAACAGCACCATAGTGGAGGAAATTAAAAAGGTAAATAATTGCAATTTATTTTTTAATTATACGCATAGAAGAATATTCGCTGCGATATATTAATGTAATATAATTGATAATTGATAATTGACTATATTTGTTTAATATCTCATCTACAATCTCATTACTCGATCTTTACAGTTACGTATTCTTGTACTGGACTTTACTGCATTGTCACATATCGATCTGGCAGGCGCGAATGCAGTGCGAAACATTGTTGATGAATATTGTGGCATAGAAGTGTCTGTTTATATAGCAGGTTGTTCCGGTAAGTATATTTAATCTTTAATAGAAAATTTTATCTATATAATTTCTTTCTTAATTAATATCTACACGTAAGTTTAATTCGTGATGTAGTATGTAATCAGAAAATAGAATCAATAATACTTTAATTACTATGTATAATATTATTTATTCTACACAATATTTTCGTCTCTTCAACGATCCATTTTTTTATACATTCTGCAAATATATAAAAATTAATCTTACAATTTTTGTATTTCAATTATCATGAATAAATAAAGAGAGATTGTTCTTACAAACATCTATCGAAAAATCAATATCTTCAGTAGGAAATATCAATATTTTACAGATGAATTAATCTTTAATAATAAAAATAAATATATTGATTATTGACAGGTCCTGTATATGAAACATTGAGGAAGTTTAATCTGGTCGAGCATAACGAGAATCACTTTTTCGCCATATTCCCTACTATTGCTGATGCAGTATATTTTGCGCGTTCTCACAGTGAAGTGCCGTCGACATGGAACACTTGTACCCACGACGAGAACTACATCAGCAGACTTTGAAACTCGCGAAATGAAGTCACTTATACGCGACATCAAAAAGCGTTCGGTCAAACGCTTTCAACGCGAATATTTACATACCTTATCACGATTATTTACCCACTTCGCAATTTAGCTTACTCATTTAAGGTGATAATATTCGTTATGTATATATGCTATGACGGTTCCATCATTTACGAATATTAATGCCGTATTTGCGGTAATTTAGCGAAATTTCGCATCTGCGTTACGATATCGTGTTAAATATTCAATTAAACAATCGAAATAACAAATTTTATCGGAATAATATTTTTTTAAATTCTTATAAGATAAGAATTATTTTAATGAAGTATTTAAAATTTTGGAATATTTAAATAGATACAGTTCTGAAAATAATTTTATTGGATCGAAAATAATTAAGTAGGAAATCCATAGAATAATGAACAAAGTTGCACATTTTTTTTTCTAGCAAAATACGTCGAAATAAAACATTTTTTTTATAATTATTCATCACTTTTTATAGGACCAAAGTAATATACAACACATTTTTTTTGTGAATGACAGTACAAGAATATAATTTATATTAGAAACTTATATGATTAAACGAAAAATAAACCATAATTTCAGAAATTAAAAAAATAAGAAAGATTAATAAAAAATAGATATATAATTATAGCGATAAATAAACTTAAAACAAATAGGAATAATTTAGGTAAAAGTTCATAAGCTAAAAGAGATTATATAAAAAAATGCTAATTGCTATGACGACGTTAATTAGCCGGATATAAATATTTATATTTTTCTCGGATAAAAACTATTGTTATCTTTAAAGAAACAATCTATTAAGCTAAATAACGAGAACATTAATATGGGGTCTACTACAGAAGTAGTGGTCGTAAAGTTTAAATCATAAAAAATGGACAAACCATAGTCGAATCGAATGTGAGAAGAATAATTATTCTGTCTGTATTCAGTAGCGAATTCTTATGGGCTTTCTACATAATCTAAGTTTTAAATCTTAAGCCGTAAGAAATTGCTCAATCACAATCGAGTGTGAGAAGAATAATTATTTATGATTCATCAATTTCTTAAGAGTTAAAACTAAGGTATGGCTTATTGTAGAAAGCCTATTACGTTTGACTGATGTTTAAGTAGAGTCTTGAAGATAAATAAAATATTTACAAAAATATATATCAAAATTGGATAAACTTTTGACGTAGTTACATATGCAACGTATCGTGTTACATTAACTGCTGCAACGGACATAATGTAAAAAAGTATATTATATTTCGTGTCCAAAATTCACTGCCAACGCTGAAAATCTACAGTCTATGTCACGTATACTATACATTTTCAACACTGACAGTGAATTTTGGAACACAGCCTTTGTTATCAGTTTGAAATTCATTTTTAAAATTCGCGCCGCGTCTGCGCAATCAATAATAATACACAATCACGCTTATTGTCCACGTCTCGATTGTCTCGAAAGAGTCGAAATCTCGAATCGATCTCAAATCGAAGTAATCGTATGTTTCTGTCAGTTCGTGTTCTTCGCAGCTACGTTTGTATATTTGTTTACGATGAATGCGTGGATGCAATATTTCAAATCCATTCCAACGCATATGGTAAGTAACGAAGTCTTTGAATAATCCGCTGAAACGGATATCAATCCGCGATATGTTCAAGACGAGTGCATTCTTTATTCACGAGGTTAGGATTATCAAGACACCATATGTCAATGCGATTGATAGCGCGAAATAATTTACGTATTTACTTAAATAATTTACATATTATAAATAACATTATAAATCTATACATTATAATTTATAAATAAATTTGTTAGTTCTATATTTATTAGTTACTTGTAAATTTGTATTCCATATATGTTATTTCTAAGCCCTATAAATTTATGTACTCTTATTATTTATGCAATTTGTTTTAGGATTATGATGGCCAAGCTAGAGCAGAGAAATTGTCGCGGGTCATAATAACGTTATTTGGGGTAAGCTACTATTCTCTAGAAATGTTGAAAATATTTGAAATTATTATCATAGTTGAAATATACAATTATAGATTGATCAAATGAAAAAGTGATTGCAGCTATCTCCAGCATGATATCAAAAAGTCTATTATGTATATTTGATGTTGGCTACATATGTAATGTTACATGTATGTAATGTGCATGTGACACGTATCCTCAAACAGGAGGCTGTCCAGTTCACTCATTAAGTAGAAATAAAAATCCATTTAAAAAATTCATCTTATGAAAAATAACATGCAATGTGATATGATTTCTAATCAGTGAAGACATTATGCCAATTCATATTATTTCATTTCCTATGACACAATTTTCACCATACATGACAATGATCTTATGACGAATGTCGAAAATATCACCATATGTTTTTCATCAGACAATCCAGTCCAAATGCTTTCTACGCTTAATAAATAAATTGCTACTAAAGCAACTGATTATGCTCTTTACCAATGCCTCCTATCCAAAGACACATTATGCATATTTAACATTACTTATATATATAATCAATATCAAATACGCATAATAGATTTTAATATCATACCGAGAATGATTGCTAGTTCATTACTTTTTTAATCAAACTTATACATATTTTTTATAGGTAGTCGGCTTCATTTGGGGATACGCCATTCAACAATTCTCGCAGACAATCTATATTCTAAGTGCTGGATTTGTTATGGCAGCATTAATTACTGTTCCTCCATGGCCTATGTACCGCCGTAAACCATTGGACTGGCAAAAACCACAGTTTGAAGTTGTTCCAAAGCTCAAAAAGAAAAAATAATTGCCGGATATGTTTAACAACTCTAATAAAATCTATCATGCAATCTTCAATATGAATTGATTGCTGATAGTGTATGCATATGTACTACTGAGCATTTGTTTTCACAGTATTTGTTATAAGATACAAATGTACAATGAATACAAGTGTGTATTGGAATAAGTATGAATGTGAAAGACTTTAGATTTCTTTTTTGTAAGATACACAAATATTATACTTTAATGGGTTGGCTGTAAATGCGAATTACAAATAAAATAAAATTGTATTTGCATAAAAATATATTTAGGTAATCTATAAATAATAAAGTAAAGAAAATTTTAAGAGCAATAAGATTTTTATGCCGGCCGAATTGATTGATGATTTTTAAAGGAATAAAATAAATAAAGTAAATCTGTTATATATAGATGAATTGTATGCATTAAAATTAATCCTGTTTTAATTATTTTCTACTATTATGCAGTACTGTACAATTCTTCTTCGTGCATTATATAATAAAATTTATTAATTGCTATAATGAAAACAGAAATGATTAAAGTCATTTGATTATTCAATAAGCCTACATATATAAACAATATATTTAAAAAAATGAGATTTCTAGATATATTTAAATTTAATAAGCGGCTCGCTAATTCGGAAAAGCTAATAATTTTTTCGAATAATTTCTTTCGAATATTATCTCATTGTTATACATAAAACATTCATATCATTTCGCATAATGTAAGTTCAAGAAAGTGTAAGTCAATAATATATAATCAAATAATTACCCGATGTTATATCGCTTCAGTTTCACATTATAGGTGCTTACGTAAAGAAAAAAAAAGGAGAATATCCAAACGTAATCCTTATACACTTGCAACAATTTCGAGTGATAGCGTTTCCCTTCCGTAACGGAACTGTATTCTTATATAATCGTAACAGAAATGGCAGTGGCCACGGATCACTTCTCGCAAATCATTAATCGATCAATTACGCGGCCTTCGCCATTGCAACATGCCGCGCCGTTGTCTTGATCAGAGCTGGATTCCAACGTTTGACTTTCGATCATGCTTGTTTATTTTGTTCGATCGCCAACTATCTGGCCATCATTTCCTTCAAAATCACCGCACCTACACTGACTTTCACAAATAGCGGTTTCGTGCAAAGACGATAATTGTCGCGACTCAAAAAAGACTGAAGAGATTTAGATATGATATACTTAAATTATAGTGTCCGAGGCTTTCTCTCTTTTCCTGCTTACACTACTTCTAAGTCAAATGAGTTTGAAAATTTATAAAAATTTAAGCTGTCATATTTCACAACTTATATTTCGAAAATGGTTTAATTACGAATTTCGAGTCGATTTTTTTTTAATGTTAAATATTTCGACTAACCTGTGCTGCTTCCATAGATTAAAATAAACAATCGGTTTCATAAGTAATAATAATCTTTGTGGCTGAGTATATTATACGCTCGTATTTAATTTATTTAAAATAGATATATCTACACTGAGAAAAATATATAGTTTTAATAAAAATTTTAATAAACATTAATTTAATACTGCCAACTAAATGCTTACAATAAGTAAATATTTGTTCAATAAAAAAAATGATTATTAAATCAAATTAACATTTCTTGTATCAAATAAATATATCTTTATATTTAATAAATATTTAGTTGGCAGTATTCAATTAAATATTTATTAAAATTGACTACATTTTTTTTCAGTGTATATAGGACAAAAAAATACACATTACTTGTAACGCCGGCCGTTACTATTTATATAGTTATTTTGTTGTAATAACGATTTGATAATTTCGTTGCAAATTTTTTTATATAAGAATTGGAAAACAAATAACATTAGAATTGAAAAAGTCACTCGTTATTTGTAACGATGCTTATAGCTTGTAAAAACGGAACATATCCTGTATATAAAATTTGACGAAAGCGAGAAACAAAATTTTTAGTGTAGCCAAGATGGCATTAAATTTTGGAGTGCAACGACAAAAAGCAGTCCCAAATAAATTACTCACTCCTTGGCTGTATCCATCACTGCTATCTAGTCGATGCTCTCTCGATCTTCTCTCTCATCGTTCCATCGTTATTGCATTTTTCTGATACACGGCGCTTCTTTTTCTTGATCAATAGAAAAGTCGACTCAGGTTAGCTTCAAACTCTCTAATCAAAGGATGCTTTCCATTTGATGACACAAGTCGACACAAGTGTCGTTCTATCTTTGTCTCTCAAAAGTGCGTTCGGGAAGACGCTATTTGTGTCATTCTATTCTTGTTTTACATCTAATAAACAACGAAAATATAATGTCACCGAATGCAATGCAAGAAGAATAAAACGATGCTTGTGTTGATTTGTGACATCAAATGGAAAGCCTCCCAATGAGAATCTAATTCTTTTTGTTTCTAGGAGACTCCTATGGAGTCTTACGCGGTCTCAAGTCTCATTACAAATATACAATATTTCAAAGCATTTAATTTATCAAGAAAAAAAGTTTATCAACTGACCAATTAAAAAATGCTTCAAAGCATCAATAAATATTTCGTTGAGATTGATTGTACTCTTGCTGTGGTCAGTCTCGCTACTAATGCTTTGAAGCATTTGATGGACCAACTAGAAGAAAGAATTTTACAAATTGATCAGTTAAAAAACGCTTCAAAGCATTTGCAGCATCGCGTTGACCGTATCCATATTCAATCAAAATCGAGCGAGAAATTACCACGAATGCATGCAAATACGTGACGTCCGTGATCACGACATTACGTACTAACTTTATCGAAGTTGAAGTGACGATTGCGCGGCACTTCAGGCAGTACTCCTGAAGTCTCAAGTGCGTTCTAAAGTATCCACGAAGCGCATAAAAGATAAAATGATACCACAGTATAATCATACTCAAGCGACACTGAATACTGTCGGCACCTTTGATGTAAGTGTTCTTAGATCACATGATTCACCGCCATGTTGTGAAATGTACACAGTAGAGTTAAATGATAGGACAAGCTCTTAAATTTGAATTTCTATTAAGCTTCTAATACGTCCGCCATATTCGTAAATGTACAACTGATACATGCGCACTAAAAATTGCAGATCACAAAAAAATTCGCTACTGGGTATGATTATACTGTGATGATACTTCATGCGTAATTACGCTTCATGCGTAATTCGGAACGCATTCTCACATTATGCGTTTTAAGATAGAAATTTGGCGCGCGGTTTGGAGAATTTAATGTATATATATATATATATATAT